GGGATCAGTAATTGCAGTTTTGGTGGTCATACTAATTATTGTCATTGTCGCAGTTTATTGTAGGAAGAGAAAACGAGGTACAGGTGTAATTCATATCGTTCATTAATTCTTTAAAAATTTAAAACATGTTTTAAAGTTTGTAAGTTCCCGACAGCCAGGTTTAATATCAGTCATGTTTTCACCTGCTACTTTGGTTTTTGACTAAATGAATGGAAAGCCCAGTTGAATTGCTAGCTTTGCCATATTTTCCCGATCACCCTAACCCTAAGAGATGCCTGCGGCGGAGGATCGCCTAGTGTCTTCGTCAGGGGTAATCTAAAGTCGCTCTATACTCATGGGATGACCTCATCTGCCAACATGGACCAGCGACTAACCATTAAATTTTGATTAAATTGTTTTAAATAATTAACAATTATTGGATGAGGTTTTTGTAATATGCGGAATTATAAAGGTCGAGGTAAGCGTTATCGGCGAGGCTGATAACGCTTACCGAGACCTTGATAATTTTGCATATCGCAAAAACCAAATTCAATAATTGTTTTATTATACATTTGTTTGTGTTAAATAGATACCGCTTGCTAATCATCGCAGGCTTATTTGCAGATAACTCAGTTATCTGCTAGCAGATGATAACTGAATTTTCTGTAGGTTGCGTAATTGCGCGATTTAACTGTAAGCTCTTAGCCAATCAAATTGCTTTTACCAACTACAATATATAATAATAGTTATTATTGACAATTTAATCAAAATGTAATGGCTAGTCGCTGGTCCATGACTGTTTTTGTTATGGTTGGTGTATGCATATTATTATTCTGCGCGTACAGACAAGAATTGCTTGTACGTTGCCCCTATAACGAAAATAAACAAATTAATGATACCGTCAGTCGATGAGAAATATCATTTAAAGTCATCGTGTCAAATTTCATGACGATCGGACTCAAAATGAAGGAGCCTTGGGCTTTTTTCGAAGAGCGTCGCCGCAAATTTTTTTTCCGTAGACAGTCGGACTCCTCATTGATAGTCGGACGCATCATTGATCCGCGTCCAGGCCTCCGCGCGTTATCAATCAATCCCTTCGTAACTCACTGGTACACCACATATCCATCACTCCACGTTGTTCTTCTTCGACCACGTGTAGAAAGATGAACGATTTACTTCGCGATGCCATAATAAATCTACAAACTTGTTTTTCTGGTTCCGAAAATACTCAAGAACGGTTATTGTGAGTTAAAACTATTAACTATATATCATCCCTTTTGAAGAGAATCAGGATAAGATAACTAGCGTGCGAGGAAATAGTGGAAGATTCAAAGCGACACTAATCAATACCACTTTTCACAAATAGAAGTATTGCAGAATACCCTGTGTACGGAATACATATCATGTAGCCCGGCCACTATTTCACTGGATACGTATATACCAGATATTACTGCCTCATTCTAATATACCAGTTGAAACTAATTACTAAGACAATATTACGAATTGATACTATAAAGGAAATATCATGGAAGACTTTTAATGTTTAATATTATGCTTAGTATGTTTTATAATATAAAATATTTCTCCCAGCGACGCTAATTAATCATAATCTGTCAAACACCAATGTCCGGTTGTGAGGAACATATTTGCATATATATTACACCACATTTAAGCTCTCTATAGCATGAGAATTTAATCTATTACTGCCATCTAATTACTGCCACGCATTCGCGTATCCACTAACATATAGAGCTACCTATAGCGTGAGAATTTGATCTAATGCTTTAAATCTAACTGTATGTCTCGTTCTCAAAATAACCACTTGACTGCGTATCCGCGTATCCACTAGAATAGAGAGCTACATATGACAATTTAATCTGTTAATGCTAAGTCACTATATGCCTCGTAGCTACCTTTACCGGGCCACCATCTAATTATTAATCTGTTGAGAATAAATGTAGATGTATTAACACATCGTATCCATGATTTTTGAAAAGCATAGCTTAAAAAGTGGATGGGTATTCTGCAATTGCAATCGCTCCTGTCGGATGTCATCACCACACAAGGTATGAAGCCACAATGTGTCCTGCTCAGATTTTGACATCTCAACCAAGCAATACTGATTTTGAAATCACCAATTGCGAGCGACGAGTATCCGCTGAATATTTTGTTTAAGGGCGCGGGCCAATGATGCGTCCGACTATCAATGAGGAGTCCGACTGTCTACGGAAAAAAAATTCGCAGCGTCGCCCCCTAACAGCAACAACAACAAGAACGATAACAACAACAACAACAATAACAACAGCAACAACAACAAGAACGATAACAACAGCAACAACAACAAGAACGATAACAACAGCAACAACAACAAGAACGATAACAACAGCAACAACAACAAGAACGATAACAACAACAACAACAACAACAATAACAACAGCAACAACAACAACAACAACAACAAGAACGATAACAACAGCAACAACAACAACAACGATAACAACAGCAACAACAACAAGAACGATAACAACAGCAACAACAACAAGAACGATAACAACAACAACAACAACAACAACAACAACAACAGCAACAACAATAACAATAACAACAACAACAACAACAACAACAACAGCAACAACAACAAGAACGATAACAACAACAACAACAACAACAACAACAACAACAACAACAACAACAACAATAACAACAACAACAACAACAACAACAACAACAACAACAACAACAACAACAACAACAACAACAACAACAACAACAACAACAACAACAACAACAACAACAACAACAACAACAACAACAACAACAACAACAACAACAACAACAACAACAACAACAACAACAACAACAAGAACAATAACAACAGCAACGATAACAACAGCAACGATAACAACAAGAACGATAACAACAAAATTAGCAGCGATTGGGGACCAGTTCCTGGTCCAAAAACCAGAGTGGCGAGCGAAAACATGACGATTTAAAAGATGTTGTTTCTTCCCTTATTTGATATGCAAATACCATACCGTACTTGTGCATGATATCATATTTTGAGCGATAATTGTTTTTACCTTGGTAAAAGATTTTACACACATCTACACAGGCTTAATTCATGATCATACATACATTGAATATCAATATAAATTAAATGCTCATGTCAATAAAACGTGCTTCAAACATAGACTTTAATCATAGAAAAACACCTGCTTCAACCTCAACTTTATTAACTCTTGACTTGATCTGACATCAATTATGATGCCGAAAAGATGAACTTGAGCAATGAAGACACGATAAAATTTGTCTCCGTTTTCTTTGTCGAAATCAAACTCTGGAGCTTCGTTTATTACATGGTAGTGACCACAATCACAATCTTGGCAAATGGTTTGTTGATTCTCGCAATCCTTAAAGATCCACTCAAATGTTTCCGCAATGCAACTTCATATTTCATTTTCCACCTAGCTCTTTCAGATCTCCTTAATTGCTTCATGTTCATGGAAGAATCACTGCTCTGGCTTACACAATTTGGCAGCATTAATACTTTACCTAAGGCGCTCAGGATCTTAAATTATTTTGTATTTGAGGTGTTCTTTCTTGTCAATTTTCCATCGATATTCTGCCTGGCTTTAGAACGTTGTTTAGGGGTTGTGTTTCCTCTTTGGCATAAAGTCAATGTGACTGCAAACGTCTGTTACACTTGGTTAGCCATGACATGGGTGTCAAGTATACTTTTCACCGGAATACGTTACATTTTCTTGATTTGTTTTAACCAAGAACAAGTGTATAAAGTCCTAGCGAATTTGCTATACGGGACATTTGTTGTGGCAACAATAGTTTGTTATTCACTGGTTACATTCTCTGTACGCAAACGACATTTGACGCTCAAGATAGACACATCCATTTCAAAAGCTACTCGAAAATCAGCTGAAGTTCGTTTGCGAAATCAAAATCGTTTTCTTTGTACAGTATTTATCATTACCGTGGGTTTCTTGCTTGGAGTCATTCCGGCTACAGTCAGCTCCTTGATCGTGGACGTGTTTATCGTGGAAACGGAAAATGACGTCATGGTATATATGTTTAACGTATCTGATATGATGTTACTATTAAACTACGCTGTAAACACCTTTATCTATCTGTGGCGCTTGCCCAAGTATAGAAAAACATTCCAAGTCTTGTACTGGCACACGGTCTAGCACATTGTGCAGAACTAAGACTGGAACCAGTTGTGACGTCACTGCTACCTTTGACCCGTGAGCTCTATATGAATCTGGAGCAAGAACTTCAGTTATTCGGCCTTTGAGAAAAGTGGTGGCAGAAATTGACGTCCAATAGCAGTGAAGGTCGTAAAAGGAACTGAAACTGACGCCCGATAGTACCATGTTTGGCATCACTCTTTGGACGGACGAGTGTTCTCGCTCCAGACATAAATGGAGTTCACTGCCTCTGACAGCATTACTCTGGTTGACATGATCCGGACCCTATACATTTCCAAATTATGTTGACAAGAAGTTTTAGAACAATATTAGTTTAGTGTTGTACTTTATTTTGAACTAATAATATATGTTACTTGTAATATATATCTATCGATTTATTCACACTTGTTACCCATTTCATGCCTTTTCATTGTTTTGAAAATCTTACTGTTCTCTATGCCACTCAGTCGCTCATTGTTTTGAGATTTTTTGCATTTATGTGAAAGGCTTGTTTCTCGACGAATATTATTATTATTGAAATGTCTTTTAGTCATTAGGCATAAAGATCTAAGGAAGTGATGAAAAACTATCTCATCCTTTGGTTTTGCTTTTGTTCCACCCCAGCTTATGCTAACATTCTTAGGGGCCGCTTATATCGCTTTTAACAACATCGAATTTAACACTTAATTGAAGATTTATTTTGGTCTATGCTTGCTTGTGTCAAAATTATAGTAACCACGTTAATTGCAAGGTATTTTCAGAATAATATATTGCACATATGCGTTACAAAATAACACGACATACCACTATGCATGTTCATTGTTTACAACAGTACATAACAAAAAATGCTTTCCTATACTTTGGTAACCTCCAAATGTACAAAAACGGATTCGCTGCCATGTTGAGCAAAAATGTAATATCCATGATAGAGAACAACATTTCGTTACTTGCAGAAGCTGTCCCCTCTGACGTGTACTTTAATTGCGAACCAATTACTGTTGGCGTTATCCCGAATGTAACAACGACGTTTATGATGAGCACTGTAGTCAGAAAACGTTTTTGATTCTTTAAACGTAGTTTTATCATCCGTCTAACAGTTTCTGATTTTGTAGTGTCAGTTGTTAGAGAGGAACGCTGTTTACGGAGTAAAATAAACGCTAGGAGATAAATGAACACTGTATAGTTATGTAAAATATACTAGGGTAACCATCCATAAAGCCTGTTGCAAGAGTTGGAAACGCATTAGATATTCCAGTATAGATACAGTTGACTAACCAGACTACACCAATCCATGCATAATACAGCCGAGATGTGACCTTAACTTGATGCCATAGTGGATGAACTATAGACACATATCTTTCCATTGCCAGGGCAGTCACTGAAGGGAAAGTTAAAAAATAAATAAAACTTCCAATTGTTAAGTGAATTGTTCCCCAAACGCCTGGCAAACGCAAAGTACTTTTATACGTAGTCTGTGATACCAACAGTTCTTCGAAATGGAAGAACGAGTTAAGTAAATCAGCGATGCCTAAATTCGCGATGAAGTAGGTTGTTGGATTGCGGAAACACTTCAGAGCGTTTCTATAGATAACGAACAGGAGCAGAACATTGGCTATTGCCGCAATAACGATGATAGATAAGTAAACTGCAAAACTCCATGCTACGATTGTTCCTAAAAATGGTTGTGGAGCGTATTCGAAATTGTCGGTAAAGTTGAACGAGTCATTACTACTGTTCCAGTCCATGATATCTTCCTCCGATATGTCTCAGAAATATCGTGTGGTCGTATTTAATAATAGTTAAAATTGGGAATCCTTTATCCTGATTGGTTTTCAATATTAAAATTTAGGCGATTGAGGATAAAATAAACGTTATACACCATCGAACATTTCATATAGACGAATACTAAGTACTGACAAGAGCACAGTAATTCAGCCCACATAATATAGAACTTATGGTTTGTGTCTGTTATAACATCTATTTAAATCTGCACTTGCTAATTTGCCTCTTAATTATAATAATAGTATGCATGCTTATCATAAAGCAAGTGCAATCGCTCTGTAATATTACAATTTTCACAGACAATCGTTAAAGGCCGTAGTTTTGATATCGAAATACTACTATTTTTTATCTGCCCCCTCTCAGGATATCGAAAGGTCCACCCCTAAAGTCGCTGTATGGCTTCTTATCTACATGATGACGTCATCTTCCAACAAGGTGGAAGATAGCTGGCGTCATGCCTGATATTGTTCTTAGTTACCAAGAACTAATACTGTGTTGTACTAGAACTAATACATGAGTACAAACCTCACTGTGGTAGTTTCAGTTCTACATGTCTGGTATGGGCAATGCCTGGTGTCGACAACCCTCCCCCCCCCCCCTTAATCTTTAATTACCATACATTAAAAATAAATTACTTGTCTCGTGTTAATAAAACTTGCTTCAAACATAGACTTTAATCATAGAAAAACACCTGCTTCAAGTTCAACTTTATTAATTCTTGACTTGATCTGACATCCATTATAATGAAAAGATGAACTTGAGCAATGAAGACACGATAAAATTTGTCTCCGTTTTCTTTGTCGAAATCAAACTCTGGAGCTTCGTTTATTACATGGTGGTGACCACAATGATCTTGGCAAATGGTTTATTGATTCTCGCAATCCTTAAAGATCCACTCAAATATTTCCGCAATGCAACTTCATATTTCATTTTCCACCTATAGCTCTTTCAGATCTCCTTAATTACTTCATGTTCATGGAAGAATCACTGCTCTGGATTACACAATTTGGCAGCATTAATACTTTACCTAATGCGGTCAGAATCTTAAACTAGAGAGGTTAAGATACCCCGATTCCGATTTACGGGTACGGGTGATATACACGTACCCGTACCCGTAAATCGGGGAATAGCTTGTAACTTAAAGGCCCATTTACACGGTACGATTAGTTGTATACGATTCTTACTCTGGCGTATGTGATCGAATAAATACGCGTACAAACGTCACATTTCAAATTTCGCCACCAGCGAGCATCATTCGTCAGAATGACAATCGTATACAACTAATCGTATCGTGTAAATGGGCCTTAAGAAATCCAAGATACTCCGGCGTGAGAAAACCAATAAGAGAATGGCAACTTTCGCTGTTGAGCAAAAATTGGTAAACAAAATGGCGATACTCGTACCCGTAAACCGGAACCGGGGTATCTTAATCTCTCTATTATTTTGTATTTGAGGTGTTCTTTCTTGTCAATTTTGCATTAATATTCTGTCTGGCTTTAGAGCGTTGTTTAGGGGTTTTGATTGGCATAAAGTCAATGTGACTGCAAACGTCTGATACACATGGTTAGCCATGATATGGGTGTCAAGTATATTTTTCACTGGAATACGTTACATTTTCTTGACTTATTTTAACCAAGAACAAGTGTATTATAAAGTCGCTGTATAAATAAATGCTGTTTTCTGCTATTTTAGTTACTATATAAAACAATTCACGACATAAAGCTTCATTTCAGCATCGATCGCGGTTTGTCGTAAACATCCATGTTAAGGTGGCTATTAAATGTCTAGAAAAGCAAATAAATAACTGTTACCTATAGTGAACCTATAGTATGTGTTGTATTTTTATACTATAACGTACTGTTCCATCATTGACTGTTGTGTATTTCTTTCTTTCAGAATCGCCGAGTGTAAGGTATGTACTATGTTACTACTACATGCATGTTATATCGATTACACCTGAAGCAGAGGCTAGTTTTTTGGTGAGAGATAAACATCAAGGATCCAGAGTAAAATCCTCGAAGCACATGAGAGAACCAACCAACCTTTGTAATCACTCTACTTTGATCTACAGTAGTAGGCTTTGCTCAGCGACAGCGCGCTAATCTACAGCAGCAACTCGCTAATCTATAGCGGCAACAAGCTAGTCTTCAACGGCGGCACGCTAGTCTACAGTAGCAGGCTTAACTCAGGGCACAGAATAGAGACAAACAGAAGGTCGACCTCATGGTTGTTCCTATGATTTTGCCTTAACGGTAATTCGTCGTCAAAGTACTAGCCAGTGTGCTTATGAATTCACCGCCTGATAATATTCAAAATGGCGGACGTCCAAGGGGTGAATCAATGCCTCTCATAAGCGCACTGGATCGGACCATGTCGTCAAGATTTCGATGACGAATCATGGCGTGGCAGCGGTTACGCTTTTTTGACTGACGCGACCTTCTGTGTGTCTTTATTCTGTGCTCAGGGGCGGCACGCTAACCACTGCTGCTGATCTTGCTCTCAATGTGATGCACGGAAACTTGAAACGTAAAAATTATGTGCACCTTCGGAGCTCTTTTGCGCCTGGGAAGGAGGTTAGCGTTTAGGCAACTCCTGCCCTTTACCTAAACAAGGCGCCAGCCCTAAGACCCTCAACATACGTAGAAGCCAGAAGTGATATGGCAGGGTAGTTGCGCGCCTAACCACATCCATCACTTAGTGGAAAGCAAACAATTGGGTTTCACATAACAGTCGGTATAACAATATAGTACTCTTTTTTGTCTTCTTGGAGACGGTTTGCCGCCCCTCGAGGAAGGGGGGATTCGAACTGTGCAAAAGCCACGTGTGAGACGGGTTAAAGGAGCCTCTCATAATTTGATTCAGATAATTAACATGGTTTGTTGTTTATTATCTATTTAGAATGACGAAAAAGAGTCCACCGACAACTGAAGTTTCAGATAAGAAACCGGTAAATGTTTATGCATGTTTTAGTAACCTACTGAGGTCCAGTGAGGACGTCCTCATATTTTAAGTATACATTTTAAAGTCACTATTGAATTTTCTACATTCCAATTGGTCGGAATTGAGCGTCTTTAGCGTTATAGCTACTCAGTGGCCAAGACATTTTACTTCACAATATTGACAAAAATGTTGAATTTCGCATCCTTTTTCAACTGATTTCATCATATTTCTTGCCTGCTTTTCTCTTCTTTCGGCTAAAACAGAGGAGGCTCGGTGAATTTATGTTTGGAATCACCAAGTCTGAGGTGCCTTATTGTTATAATTGGTCCACTGTGATTTTTTTCTTTAATAAATATCAGTAATTAATTAAATTTGCGGGAGAGATCTTACATGAACGGTCTGTGCCAGTGTAGGTAGTGGCAATAATGACAAGCTTTCGTTGGTAGGGATGCAACTACTTGAAAAATACAAGGAGAAGTCGACGTTTCGAGCGAAGACGGGAAGTTAGTAGCGGGGGTCAGGAAAATTACATGATACATCTGCAGGCCCGTTCAAACAATGCCATGCAACATTTAACAAATATAAAACATTTTCCGTGTTGATATAACTCTATATCAATACGGAAAAAATGTTTTATATTTGTTTTATAATATAGCACAAAGAAACATAAAGAAAGAAATTTTCCGAAGTTTCCGTGTTGACATTGGGTTATATCAACACGGCTCTTAGCCAATCAACGTTCAGAATTTACAAATGCTATATTATAATGTCCAATATTGTCGAACAATGGCAAATTTTCCATCACCATGGATCACTACCAATTAAACGTGCATATTGTTCAACTGGACCCACTATGCATCAAACAGTGTTGGATGATGTCGACCAATATTTCGACCAAGACTTCTTTGAATGGGGTTCATTTCAATACAACACAGAAAACACACAACCAGACACGACAATATGCCGCGACGCCATCTTGCCCGGTGGAGCAAACACATTGGTAAAAACATTGCCTCGTCCCAATGGGAATATACGTGTCCTTATATATAGGGTCCTGGTATTGTTGCTGTATTGTGCTTGCTCACTTGGTAAGATGGCGGCGTCGCGAACCCCCCGAGAAGGTGTATGCAAATGTACCAACTGCCAGAAGAATATAGCTCTGATTTTGTCGCGGTCCCATGCATGCATGTAAACGGGATAGATTTTCTAGTATATTTACGTCATGTATCCTTTCAGAAACAAGGTGGATTGTTGTACAGCGATTCGCCGAATATGGACGCACCGCATGTTCGACCTCCTGTGCAATACAGGCAAGATGGGGATGATGATTTTGATGATGACGATGAATACGATAATGATGGAAACGTCGATTTTGGAGACAATTCTACAGTGTCTACACCGTCATGGGTATAAACATTTATCAAAGTCAAAAAGAACGCCTCCTGCCTTTACTTCGATTATATTATTATCATTTCATGATACTGAGTTTCAGTAAGTGTTGAGGGCAGCAAATGGTGGTCGTATTCAGGAGTTTTCATCCTGGTAGGATCTAGAAAATCGAACTTTGTCTTTCTCTTCTATTGGATTTGCCACTAAATAGATTTTCATTACTACAGACCTTATTATAGGAAATTAACGATGCACTTTATTAACGCAGATTTTAAAAATTCGCGTTAATTTAATTAATGTTAATTTATGTTATCGTTAATTTCAAGCATGCAAATTTTAGCTGGTTTAATATCGTTAATTAAAAAGACCTTGATTTGTTTTATATAACACGAACTCTTTTAACTCAAAATACATCATATTAAACCTCAAACAAAAACACCAGTCCACATTGGCTTAAATGACTTTAACTTTTAACGTTACAGTTTTGACATATCTACTCGCGTTCTGTTTTAATTGGTAGTATATAATATTACACTTTTTCTGTTGTGTTTATATTCTTCGACACGCGTTAGTTAAATTAACTTGTTAACCATAAACTGTCATATTCGCGTTAATTTAATCAATTTTAGAAGTACCTGAAAGCAATTCGCGTTAATTAGATGACACGTTAATTTATGTCGCGTTAATAAAGTGTATCGTTAATTTCCTATAATAAGGTAGTTACACCATTAATATATTTATAATTTCTAGTTTTGCCCTATACTAAAGGCTGGCCCTACCATTAGAACTAGCTTTACCTGATCGAAATCAGGCGTCATGCATATATATGAGCCCTCATATACAGTATATATATGAAACATTTTGCCCCCTATATAGGGCTAGCCTAAGTCCCATATAGACGAAAACATTTTAATTCTTCAGCCTTCTTGTGGGACTCGTATAAATATACCATAGAAAACTTGTTCTGTCTCCGAAAACGGTCGTTTGACCATCATCTGCTGAACAATTATGCTTACGGAAATCCGTATTTCTATTGCATGCATGCATGCAGCATGGATGATCAAAACTTTAGGTTTTACTCATAGAAGTTGTATGTATATATTACTATATCATGAATCATGACCACTGGTCCAATTTTTTCAACACACAAACATTATGAATCCTTGGCTGCCTCGTACTCCGGCGCTATATATTGCAATCATGCAATGATGAGCGAAAGGCATTACCAACCATGGTTGTTTAGCTATAATGGGTGCGTACGAAGGGGCTGTTGGGAATGCCTTTCGCACATCATTGCATGATTGTTATATTTCATCGACACTAAATACAACCGAATAGACTATAGAGACGCCTGAGTACGAGGAAGAACTCGGCCGTTGTTGGACCACAGCTTAATAGGAAAAGAGAAGTTTTCTTATCGCTTTACGGAATTATTTTCTAAATGAGACTGCCGTGTTATATTGTTCCTTAAATTGCTACAGAAAACGAAGCCATTTAAACATGGTTAGACAATCGGAATTCGCCAGGGGAAATACCGCGTATTCTATTTTCTTAAAAAACGTTTTTTAAACTACACCAGATAACTAATTATTTTGACATATATATATATACCAACTCAAGTAACAAAGATCTGCCATAATACGTCAGAATGGCTATCATGCATGTAGTTGGTATCTTATAGTAATGGTTCAGTTCTGACTTCGTCATTTAATATATATAATAGATTTCAATCCAGTTCTGTTTCCAGATCAGTGGTTTAGAATGAGTCAAAATGTCCTATGGGTCCGCGATTTTGAAGACAAATTTTGACTTTTTCACAGTGACAGTGAGAAGGAAATATATATAGTACGTTTAGTATTGTCTAATAGCTGTACAGATTTTTATATATACTAGTTTAAAAGTGTGACTAGCTACGCGTACGAATAAAGTATATGAGTTCTATGTAGTTTTGCATGGTATTAAAGACACTAAACTCAATAAGAATAAACTTTTCAACGAGAGAAAGTCGCAAACTCTGGTCAGTTTTGTTTTAGGAAGCCAATCGCAAAACATGCATGGTCATATAGGTACTAGGTAGTTACTTGTAAAACGACGTGTTGTTTGAAATCTTGAGTTTTATAAAAATATTTTTCGAAATAATTAAATGGCCAAGCACATGCATGGTGTTTCCACAAAAGAAAACGTACAATCTTTATCTTCACATTCTTCATTCCTGGCAGTTTACTTTATGAAATTATTTGAAGTTTTTTTTAGTATTGAAAAATTTGGGAACAAAATAAAATGTTTAATTAATAACATATATTGAGTACCTAGGCTATTTGAAATCCTTTACATGCAGCAGACAATTTCGCGAAATATAAGATGAAACAAACTCGACATAAACACACGTTGGTTAAATTTACCAAAATTTCTCCCACTTGTGCGGGCTCGTATTGTCAGCGGACTTCTTGCTTTGGACCAGTTCTTTGAAAAATCTTGAAAAATGCAAAAGTTTCGATTTTTCACCGCAAGTCCACTGAAAATGCGAGCCTGCGGTACTGGGAGAAAATTTACTGAATATGACCAGCGTGACACCTTGTAATTAAGCTCAAGATTCGATCTATTTTTAAAAAGACAACAAAATTCACCGTAATGTTTCGACTTTATTTCAAAGTCTGGTATAAACGCCCTGGTAAACAAAGAAAATGTTTCCAGTACGAGTTTCAACAAATGTATTACATGTTGTAATTCGAGTTGTGTACGTTGCTTCTAACTGTATGTCGTCCTGTTTAAGGTTGGTTTTGACCAACTGCATAGCTAACTGGATATGCAGGAATAGACGTAAACGGAGAAGTTACATGAAAAGAAACGACAATCTCATCCTCTGCAATAATCTATGTAGAAATACGATCTGTGAACTGTTGAAAATTTTAACTGTATGAACATCATGTACTTAAGCCCAAGCGTCCCAAAACTTTTGCGACGTATTTAGACACTGAATAAGTTGGGAAACCAACGCAGCTGTTGATAGGTCTCATCCTAACATCAGTTTCGTGAAGAGTGAGGGGGTCGTCTCTTGGTATTAATTGAACCTATATATATGAATCTGAGGGAGTCCATAGAAAGTGGCTGGTATAGGATCGTTCGGACGTAACTTCCAGTAAATGTCGAGATTTTGTTGCATCTCACTCGATTCAATAATAGTTGAAGGGTCTTGTAGATGAAAATTGTCGAGTGGAAATTTTTATACATTTATTAGACCTAGAGCGCTGGTTAGAGCGCTGCACCGGAATCGCAGGGCCGCCGGTTCGATTCCTACCAGGGACCTATGGTTGCATTTTTCGTAGCTATTCCTGGTTAGGTCTAATAAATGTACATAAATTTCCATTCGGTAACTTCCAGTACCGTGTTTCACTAATGTGACCAGAGTTTTTTAAGTCTGAACGTTTTCATTGTAATAAAGTTGTGGTTTTGAAGTCGGATTTATGTCAGTAATTGGTTAATAGGTCTTGTACTCTTGTCCTCGTGAAGCATTTCCATAATTCCTTCATGATAGTCAATTTTGTTCATTACAACTGTATCATTCCCTCCATCTGTTGGTAAGATGTGGACGTCCTCGTCTTTTTAAGTTCCCCTTAAAGCTTTCCGTTCTTCCCCTCAGTAGTATATCGATACCTTAACCGACACGAAACGCAAATGAGTAGTTTTGTAACCAAACACATTTAATTTTAATTTTGTACTATACACTGCATTTATTTGCTTTAACGGCGATATATTAAACTAAAAGCCTATGTATTCCTAAATAATTTCTTGATGAATATTAGCAATTATTACCCTATACTGTATACTTAAGTCATGGATTTAAAGTTCATCTTTTTCGTGATGCAAAACAGCAAATTCGTTCAAAATGTTTCTCCGTCTCTGAAGTTCATCTGCCTTATCCGGATGTATTGCAGCCAGCATAAGTCGTTCAATTCTGTTCAATTCTGTCGTTAAATATTCCGTGCCATCCTTTAACACCTGCTGCATGATTTTCACATATATTTCTGCAGAACTTTCTGCGTGATTATTTCTAAGAGAAAGTGCTTCGTTTAAAATTTCTGGTCTCTTGAACGAATTATCCATGAACATTTTCACGAGGGTTTCAAAATCTTTCAAACGTCCAGCCTATAATGACGTAAATGTTAATCAAAGGATTAGAAGGTTAATATAGCAGAGTTGTTCCGAATTCGGAGCCATTTGAAAGAAAGATATTTTAAGCAATAAGATCGTCTCGTTATTAAGTTTAAGAGAGTTCTGCGACATCTGAGTATAGGATATGAAAATGTTTGCGATAACCAAATGGCAGTATGACCGATTGGGATTACGATTGAATACTTTCACAGTTACAGTATAACTTTCACGTTTTACTTTTAAAATTGGATGGGTATGATTCCAATCCAGAGCGCGATATTTATTGTCATTACTGATTACCTGCCTGATGGATCGACCCACCAACTGATCGTATTTTTGATGTTCCACAGCAAAATATGTTATTTAACTTTTCTCTCGATAGATATTCTTCCATCATTCATACTCGTTTACGTTTGTAAAATTGGGTGTAAACCATCTTCTGAATGTCTTTGTGGCTTTGAAGTTGAAAGTATTAATCATTACTTTTTACATTGTCCGTTGTTTGCTGCTCCAAGATTGAAACTGCTCTCCTCTGCTGCATATATTTTTGCTCACAGGTGGCACGCAAAGACTGAAACGCAGCTAATAAGTGTTTTCCTTTCTGGATCTTCGCAAATCTCAGAAGGGGAAAATGCTTACATTTTCTATTATGTTCAAAGTTTTATCAAAGAAACTGGTCGATTTACCCATGTTGAATCTTAGTATTGCTTGCCCAAATATAGTTTAACGAACTAAAGTACTGAACTTACATAATGTGCTGATTATTATTGGTAACAAGTTGTGTTATGTGTGTCCATTTATGTAAATTTAACAGTGAGCCTCCAAGATCAGTAATTGTTGCTCTTGGGGAAAACTATTGTTATTTAGTTATTTAATAAATATTTATTATACAAACTGATCGACCCACCATTTAACCGACCGACCGACAAAACTAACCGACCCATCCCGGGTACTTTCAACTAACCATCGACCGACTGACTCAAATAATGGTCGTAATTAATTATCCTTGCCCACGGTAACCGAGTGGTGGACGATGAGAAGAAGCAGATGTTATTTAGACTTGCACACTACATTTATTTCAGATGGTATAATATGTTACTGATTGTCACTGCTGCTCAGAATAATCAATAGTGAGCTTTCAGCAAGTGACGTTTTTGAAAACACGGACGTCAACCGGAAGTAAAGTTGACGTTTTCCACCAATCACAACCCTTGACCCAGTCTTCTGACGTTACTCATGCCGTCCGTGTTGTCAAAAACGTCACTTGCTTAAGCTCACTACTAATATCAATTAACTACATACCGTATCATCAAGGCGACCCATAACGGTACGTTTTGTCTTGCATTGAAGATTAAGAAATTTTGTAATATTCTGTTCACTCCAGTTTTCCTGATACTTGCCAGGGTGGTACAAGTAACCATCTTTATTCTTGATAGTGTAAACTCTTATTGATGGATAATAAGGTACTTCTTGTTGAACTGCCACATCGTAGTTAGCATCACCATCGATTTTTGCTATCACGCAATCCCTTTCATTTTGGAAATTTTTACCAACCTATAAGACAATAAACCTTATGCATAATCAGGTCATAAGGTTTGATGCCCGCGAGGAATGCTGGTCTTAGTAGTCATCGCCCGGGAAAATTAAACGATTCAAAATGGCCACTATCGAAATTTTCCCGGACGATGACTACTAAGACCAGCATTCCTCGCGGGCATCAAGCCTTGTGACCTCATTATGTATAAGGTATATTAAGTAACAAGATTGCAAATAAATCAAAACATTAGTTCGGATGAGATATGAACTGATTGGAACTTATACATAGCCCTCTTCAAAAAGATAGCGGCCATCAGCAACACGCAATAAGGTGGTTCTTTGGATTAAAAGGTTATATAGTACAGAATAGGGATGGTTCTTCGGAACATAGCCTGAAAACATGAAAAAGGATGCAACATGTCTCCTTTCGTTTTATGGCAAGATAAACGAATCCAAGTTACCAAACCAAAACTAGTACGGATATATGAAATGATTTCACCTCATAATACAGCCCTTTTTATAAAGATGGCGGCCATTGTAATACTCAATCAGTGAACTTTATAAATACATGCAGGAACGTACCCTGGTTCCAGAGGTTTATTTTTATTATTTTCATTGCGAAGGGGAGAGGAGAAATAAACCTCTGGAACCAGGGTAGCAGGAACGATAATTAAGTCCAGATAAAAGGCCCTATGAATGGATGAATATTGGCCAATAGAGTGATCTCTTGTACTTAGATGTAGATATAAAATACGCGTGTACTTCGCGCTTCCCGGGAGTTGAAATAAAATGACTTTCTGATCGCTGTTTTGCAATTTTTACACGTATAAAAACTCATTTTTAGTGGTTTAAATACCCTACTTAAAAGCAAAAATAAAAGGAAAGGTAGGATTGATGCAACTGCAGTACTACAATCGCGTGCAAAAATAATGAGACTTTTCACGTTTTTGGCCATTTTAAAGTGAGTCGGCCTCCCCCTGCCCCCATGATCAATGTTGAAAAAAGTGGGTTGAATTTTCTCTTTTCACTCATTCACACAACGTACATTGAATTGGGGGTGAGGGGGGCATTTATGCGATTGTCTCAATAATTTTTGCTGCCAATTGTAGGCCCCTACGCGGAAATTCACTAAATTCTGAACGAAAAATCGGCATCGTTTGATGTAGAAATTTCATTTTTCAGCACCTAATTAGAAGAATAAGCAAATTAACTAGCTGCCGGAAAAACAAGTTTAGAAAAACCAACGCGAGAAACACCAGCAAACTTTTGTTTTTCAGGACTATCTATATATTGGGGATTTGAACTAGGGACCAACTACAATCAGGAGCAAAAATTTTTGAGATAACTGCATAAATGCCCGCTCATCACCCCCTATTCAATGTTGTGTGAATGACTGAAAAGAGAAAATTCAACCCACTTTTTCCAACATTGATCATGGGGGCAGGGGGAGGCCAACGTACTTTAAAATGGCCAAAAACATGAAAAATCTCATTATTTTTGCACGCGATTGTAGAGCATACCTATATATACAAGAACGGCTTGTATTTCCGCTATCTTGGCTCACAACAATCTCGAACCCTGAGCCTGCAATCTTCTGTGGAGGCTTACTGAGGCAAGCCTCCACAGAGGATTGCAAGCTCAGGGTTCGAGAATGGATTGGCCTCACAGTTTTTATAGAGTTCACCCTGTACTCAATAGGATGGTTCTTTGGAAGGCGTGAAAACATGAAAAAATGTGTATTGGACGACAAGCTAAAATTGAGTTAAAATGAGGTTGTTGAAACAAGAATCATTTCCATAATTGTAGATAATATCTCATTTGTTAAAATTTGTTTTGCCACACTTTATAATATTAATTTTATAATATAGATCAATCTAATATTTGTCGATTATATAATGATTGAGGTTTCTACCTTTCCAAGAGTGTTGATCAGGTCTTTACAAGAATTGCACCACTTTGCGTAAAACAATACGAAAACATTCTTCTTTTTGTTGTGAATGACCCTTTCAAAATTAGAGTTATCCAGTTCAATGATAGCTTGGTTAAACACACTTGGATCTGCTCGCATGTCAGACGTAGCCTTGATAAAGCCAAGAAAATCATCTAACTTCATTCCACCTCGATAACTGTAAAATTACGAGAATATATTCTTACTAATTAATATTGGAACAGGACAAGAATTACATACGCGCTAACGCGCTTGCTTAAAAACTATATTCGCGCTTGCCAAAGAGTCGTTGACGGCGTTGTGTAATCGGTGACGTTGTCTGATAGATGTATCCTGTTGAGATCTCAGGAAAATCTATATATAGTCGAAATAAAATAAGAGAAAATGGGAATTATACCCTAAAGCTATGCGGCTGGCCGACATTGGGGGCTGACAACCTCATCCCCAGGCTCCATAGTGTTTTTTGTGGCGGGCTTCGTGGGCTCTGGCGCGACGTAAGCATAGACGCAAGGCGGTGTAGCATTGGGTTCACGCGCGAACCCCACGAAGCTAAGTAAGCCTACGAAGTATTCAAAGCGCCTGGGGACGAGACTGGAGGGCTGATTACATGGATAATTAACCCTGCAAGCTGTGTTTCAGCTTGGTTAACGTTTCAGCTCGGCTTCCAAATTTTCAGCTTAAATCCTCAGCGGTACTCGACCGGAATGATTGGAAAATAGGTTTTTAAATGTTTCAATGGAATTGAAATGCATGCATGGTTAAGGTTAGTTAACATTATAAAGACTCGCTGCATAGTATTATGGAGGTGTATTAAAGAAGTGTACTCGTAAATAATCTATTATACAAAAATGATTGTATCTAGTGAATGTAATCAGTATAACGTATATACAACATACGTTTCAGGTGTTACACTTCCTTTTATGAAGAATTTGAATATTGGCCAACGATCAACCCAGAACCTTGTCGCCAACTTCACTTCATCGTATGCATTGACCTTAGCCAGAATTACACCACTTTTATCCATTTCTTCTGAAACCTGTTCCAACGTTTTCAAAGCTTCAACACTACGCTCGTTCCAACGTGCGTAAAATATCACAAAAACAAAACTGCTTCCATTTACTACATCATCAAAGTTTGCTTCTTTCAATTCAGTGAAATCTTTACCATATCCTGGCTGAAAAAGCACCAGAGATGCAAGACTAAAGATCACACAAGTGATGTACATGGTACTAGTAAAATACTTCATAGCCTTCTAAAGAGTAGAGTATATAGAATATCAAAATGTCGAGAAATGGCTCAGTTTATTGCAGCGTACTCATATAACATAGCACTTTATATAAGTGACTAACCAATCTAGGACGGCCATGTAGCGTGTGATAAAACAATGAATATATCCGCAATATATTATCATATATGAACAAGAACAATAGACAGCTGTATAATCAGCGCTCTCTAGATAGATTAATTCAGAAACTGACAAGAATGGTTGGATTATTCAGTCGAAGACATTTTCGATCAGTCTTACATGGCCAACATACTGAATATAAATACAACCGCGTGCATGTTTTATATAATTTTATGTATATTGGAATTACTGCATGCTTTCACGTGATAACACGATTGATGAACAATAATTATAGTCAATATAACTATGTAGTAGTATTGTTTACCTTGCTGCATCTTTAAAGCAGATTGAATTTTTAAAGCAATCTTTTGAGTTTTGTATAAATAGGTTTAGTTGAAGAGTGTATTAATTGGATACACAGTATACACTTCTCCCTTTTAAGACCGGAGAATAAATAAATTCTGAAATATGTATTCTATTAAAAATAAACGTATATAACATTTTAAAAATCGTCAAGTTATAATTACATAGTCATAGATTCATTTTTAATACTCTGTTTACACAGCCGTTTTAGGCATTATCTGCATAGACAACGAATCTTTCTTCGGTGTTAAGATCGAGTTTGGTATCTATAAGAATGACTAGTTCGACAGAGTACAGCCCTATTACTTTCCAACCTATAAGACGACCAGGATTGGTTTTCGGTGAAACTCCAGTTGGAACAACCTGCTCGTATTGCCAAAATAAAATTGTTACAAAAACTGAGTACGTCGATGGAACACTGACCTATCTGGCAGCGTCTGCAATATGTGGATTGGGGTAACATTGATAATCAAAAATATCATGATAATTTTATGAAATACTAGCTGTTGCCATATATCCTACAAGACGTTTTGCGCGCGATTATAGGCAAATAATATAGCAGGCAATTACATTAACTGCGGAGAGGTCTGTAGTGCCACTAAATCCTGTACTAAATATATGTATTTATTTATAGAGAGGGTTAAGTGGCTCTAGACAAACCGCCAACTCCGTAAAGCGCACGAAACTCCTAGTAGCGCAGTAATTTTTCACATTTATATGTATTGACCTTGTCCGCCGTAATCAATAAAGAGCGCTCAGAAAAAAATACCAATGTAGCAACTTTTATGTTGCACTTTATTTTTAGTAAATATGTAATAATTATGGGAAGAAGAAAATTAGAGACATAGAAAATTTTGAAAAATACATGATAGCTGGATCCTCCCGTCGATTTCAACATATGAGTATCTAACTAGCTGAAAACATGATCAGTTCTGATGTTTAATTGCGTTTAGTATTAGTGGACTTCCATATATATATATATATATATATATATATATATATATATATATATATATATATATATATATATATATATATATATATATATATATATATATA